ATCCTGTTTGCAATAGCAATACAATGATTAAATATTTAGAATTAAAGTTAACAAGAAATGTGCAACCTATGCAAAGAAAATTTTAAAACACACTAACAAAATTGGTAGTGTTTTTTAAATTTGAATGAATGGAAAAGACGACTTCTGTTCTTGGACAGGACTCAACACTATAAAGATGTCAGTTCTCCCTAAGTTAATTTAAATTAAATGCAATCCTAATAAAATACCAACAAGACACTGAACAAGTTGATACTAAAGTCCATAAGGAAAAAACTACATATGAGAATAGCTAGCACACAGTGAAAAAGAAAAGAGCCCTGCCAGACACTAAAATATACTATATAAGGCCTTAATAATTTTAAAACAGTGGTACTGGTACATTCGTAGACAAAGAGACCGGGTCAAGTATATGGGATTAAAATATGGCAAAGGTGGCATCTCAAATCACTGGGATCAAGATGAACTTTGTAATAAGTGATGCTGGGACAAATTGGTAACCATTTAGAAAAAGAATATTAGGTCCTTACCGCACACCATATATATAAATTCCAAATGTGTCAGAGAAATGAAACCATATAAATACCAGAAGAAAATATGGATAAATTCCTTTTTAACAATATATAGGTAAAGGCTTTCTCACTATGATTTCAAGTCCGGAGGCAGTAAAAGAAAAGATTGATAAACTACATAAAAATGTTTTAAATTTGCATGACAAAAAAATCAACACAAGCAAAAAGAACAAAACTAAGCAAGTGGGACTACATTAAACTAAAAAGCTTCTGCACGGCAAAAAAGAAAACAAAACAAAACGAAAACACACAAAGATCAACAACATGAAAAAACAACCTATGGAATAGTAAAAATATTTGCAGATGAGTTATCTGCTAAAGGGTTAATACTCAAAATATGTAAGAACTCATAGAACTCAACAGTAAAAAAAAAACAAAAACACAAATAGTCCAATTTTAAAACGGGCAAAAAACCTGATTAGACATTTTTCCAAAGAAGATATACAAATGAATGGCCAATAGGCACAACATGGAAATACAAACCAAAATCACAGTATCACCTCATGTCTGTTAGAATAGTTATCATCAAAAAGATGAGAGATAAATGCTGGTAAGGATGTGGAGAAAAGAGAATCCCTGTGCACTATTGGTGAGACTGTGAATTGGAACAGACCCTATAGTAAATAGTATGGAGGTTCCTCAAAAAATAAAAAATGGAACTACTATATGATCCAGCAATTCTACTTTGGGGAATGTATCTAAAGGAAATGGAAACACTATGTTGAAGAGATATCTGCATCCCCACATTCACAGAAGCATTATTTACAATAGCCAAGACATGGAAACAACCTAAGTGCCCACTGATGGATGAAAGGATAAAGAAGTTGTGTATGTACACAATGAAATATTATTCAGCCAGAAAAAAGAAAGAAATCCTGCCATTGGATGGAACATGAATGGAATTTTAGGGCATTATGCTAAGAGAAATGAGTCAGACAGAGATTGTATGGTCTCACATGTGAAATATAAACAAACCAATTTCACAGGAAATGAGATCAGATTTGGAAGAGGGAGGGTGGGTATTTGGGGGAGGGAAGGTGGATAAAGGTGGTCAAAAGGTACAAACTTCCAGTTATAAGCATGAGGGATGTATGTACATGATGACTATAGTTAACACTGCTGTATTGTGAATTTGAAAGTTGTTGGGAGTAGATCTTGAGTTCTCATCACAAGGAAAAAACTGTTTTTAAATCTACATAAAATGACAGATGACTAAACTTCTTATGGCAGTCATTTCACAATACGTGTAAGTCAAATCATTATGCTGTATACCTTAAACCTACACAGTACTTTGTCAGTCAATTATATCTCGATAAAACTGGAAAAAGTTTTAATTAGAAAGACAACAAAATCAGAAAGTCAAAAGACAATTCCTCAACTGGGAGAAAATATTTACAACATATACCACGAAGTTAATATTCCTAATATATAAAGAGCTTTTAAAAACTGAGGGACACAGCACTATTCAATAACCAAAAGGTAGAAGCAACCCAAGTATCCACTGACAAATAAACGCATGGATAAAGAAAAGATGGTATATACATGGAATGGAATATTACTCAGCCTTAAAAAGGAAAGACATTCTGGCACATGCTACACCATAGATGAACTTTGAAGATACTGTGCTGGGAAATATGCCAATCACAAAAGGACAAATACTGTAGGATTCCACTTATGTGAGGTACCTACAGTAATCAAGTTCATAGAGACAGAAAGTAGAATGGTGGCTGCCAACAGCTGGGGGAGGGAAGAAAAGGAAGTTATTGTTTTAACTCATTTAAATATAGTTAAAATGGTACATTTCATATTAAGTATATCTTACCACACTTAAAAAAATATCCTGAGGAACAGAAAAGCAAAAACCTGATAGACAAATGGGGAAAAGATATGAACAGGCAATTCTGCCATGCCTAGGTCTGAAGCTGAGCTGTGGCACTACCTGGCTGTGTGACTAACTTGGCATAAGATGCCCCTCTCTGGGTGCCAGTTTTCCCTCTGGTATCAGGCTTTGGACTGTCAGATGAGGGATCCACAAGTAATCAGCCCAGTTTCTGTACAGCCCAGGAGCAAAAAACTGCTTTTACATTTTTTAATGGTTGAAAAAAATTCGTGACACATAGTAATTATATAAAAATTATATAAAATTCGTTTGTGTCCATAAATAAAATGTTACTGGAACACTGCCACTCACTTACCTACTGCCTCTGTACCCACAGTACAATGCCAGACTGAGTAGACAGACTATGGCTCCCAAAACCTAAAATGCTATTTAAAGTGTAACTATACCTGTTATATTCACCACATAATAATATTATAAATATTACTACATGACAACAAAAGTTTGCCGACCGCTGAGGGAGATCTCTGTAAGGATAGTTCTAACCACAGTTCTGAATCCCACAGAAGGTACCTTAGCCGCAAGGAATGACCCGTAGGAACCCGGGCCCTGAAGACTTAAGTGGCTCCCAAAGCCACCCGCGAGACACCGGCCGGTGTCAGTTAACTCAGCCAGTCAAGATTTTCGGTCTGGAGTTGGGCTGACCCACTGGCTAGCTGGGTGACTTTGGACCAGTCACTTCACCTTTCAGCCCTTTGCACTCCCCGGGAAGGGCGCCAACACCAGCTCTCACCTCACCGTGCAGGGCTGCTGGGAAGGTGACGTCCAAGGGCTCCCAGCAGGGGTTAGCACCTGGCTGTGCACCCAGCAGACGCAAATCAACGGTGGCTCCTGCTGGGGTCGCTGTGGACCACTCCCGAGCCCGGAGCCGGTCCCCGGCGGCCCAGGGGAGGCGGCAGGAGGCGCGAACAGGCCCGCGGGGCAGCCCGGAGGCCCGGCCTCGTAGCTCCCGCTCTCCGGCCTCTGTTTCCCCGACTGGGTTACTAGGACTGCCGGAGGAGTTCCCCGCATCCGCACCGGCCTCGGCCCGCGCCAGCTGCCCCTGAGGCCCCCGCTCCCGCTCTCACCTCGGCTCAGTAGAGCGCCGCGCCCCCATCCGGGGTTGCAACCGAACCGGCGACCCGGGACCTCTCCAGGAGTCTCCACGGCAACGGCCTGCCCGCCGCGACCCCCCGCGCCGGCCCACTGGGCGCCTGACAACAAGGCGCGCTCCCATTGGCTCCGGTGCCGGCTCGGCCACCCAATCAGCAAGGGCGCACGCAGCGTTCGCCCCCACGGCCTGCGCTCCGCCACTGCGGCCGGCGTCCCGTGCGGCCCCGCGGCGTGGCACGTGTCCGTGAACCTTCCTGGGCCTGGCTTCGGAGCCTCGCGTGTTGTGAGCTTGGCCCTCTAGCTGGCAGTCGGACTCCCAGCCCCACCACTTATTACACTTGGGAAGCGCAGGGCTCGGTGCCTGGCCGAGTTAGTTAGAACCCGGGACAGGTGCTACCCAAGGCAATGGAAACTTGGGGAACCCTTAAAGGGAACAAGAGGAGGAAGAGCATCGCCCTCCATGTTACCCGTGCCTCACCTCTCTCTGAAAAGGATTTGAAGCCCAAAAGGCACAGATACAACTATTGCAAGTGACAGAGAGAGAAGAAAAAGAAAGAAAAAAGACCCGGTAAATGAGCGGTCCTGGAAGATAGTGACAATTCCAGAGCCGAAAACCCAGCTTTGCAGGGTTTGTGACGACAGCCTCTGCTGAGGGAGGTTAGTCTTAGGAGGGTTTTAGGGAAGGCTCCACGCTGGCTGAGATTGACAGCCGAATCCAGCAAGAATTATTTAAATTTGAATGTTATGGACTTCTCTTTGACCTTAAAGACAGTAAAATAATGGTGAATAACTTAAGAGTCACTTCAGAACAATAAAGCCTTTACTGATATGCCAGGAGTTATAAAAATAATTGAGTCACCAACCTTAATTTTGAGAGTACAGCCTTGGTGAGAGGGGCAGGGAACAGAAACAGAAACAGATGGTTTCAGAGTTCCACGGATAACATGCAGCCTTGGATGCAGTTCCCACCTGAGTTTGACCTTGAAAGATGCTCTGGAGTGAAATACTTGGTGGTGGGGGGTTGGTCCAAGCAGCAGGGAGCTATGTGGCAAGGGTTTGGAGGTGAGAAACAGTACCAGCCACGCTTACCTCAGATAACATGGTATTACCAAGGGGCAAAGCTCAAGGCCACCGTGGAGGGGGAAGGGGCCAGTCCCCACAGCAAACAAAAGACATCACTCTAACTACAGTAGGGTTAAGGGGGGGAGACCAGACAGGAGGTCCCAGCAGGAATTAGGCCTGAATCTCCTTGGGCACTTCAACCATTCTCCTTCAACCCACAAAGGTTCCCTGAGCTCGTGTGGGCAACCGCACACCCCTATTGGCAGAAGGAATGAGTGTAGAGGCAGCTGGGACAGGAAGCTAGGGAAAGGAACTCCAAGCTCTAGCTTTTAATGGGTCCTCAGCAACTGTCAGGTACAAACACAGCAGACACAGGCACATTCCATTGGAAACTAACTTTATTAACCAGATGGACTTCATAGACTGAAAAATCTCAATCTGATATTACACTGGTGCACTAAAGACAAAGATGATCAAACCTTTAACTGTGCAGGGAAACACAGCACCCACCACAGTGTCTAAGTGAAGCAAACTTTGCTTCAAATATCTAGAAGGAAACTGAAAAGGAGACCTATGGGATTCCCCCACCCCACCTGTATAGCCTCTGAAATGCAAAAACATGGTAAGAGTAATTTAGATAGGGTATAGGGGGAGGCAGGGATCCCATCTGCTCAGTTTCTAGTGGCAGACATTGCATTTCCAGGTTTGCCAATTCTAGGACTAAGGTTTTCACCAGGTGCTCAGAGCATTCTCAGCAAGACTCATGGGAGAAGATGGACTTTAGGAATGCCCAGGAGAGGTCCCCTGAAGCTCAGCTCTCCCTAGGCACAGCAGTCTGTAGGCAGGGAACACCCAGGCGAGCCCAGGCTGAGGACAGGGACATCTGGTCAGCAGAATCTGTAGGAAGGTCCAGGATAGACCAGCTGCCAACCCCTCCCTCCAAGCCTGCACACAGGCACAGACAGCAAGGGCCTCCGGGCTGAGCCCTCCACCCTTGGATTTGAGCAGCCTAAATACAATATGTGAAACAGCAGCCCTGAGAACAGGAAACATCCTACCTCTCAGGATCCCAAAGTATCCACCTCATAAACCAAGCCCGCTGCCCAGAGTGGCCCAGAATGCCAGGGAGGGAGGGGCAAAGGAAGGTAAAGAAGTCATATTTGAAAGATGAGGCTCTCTTCATTTATTTGGCATGAGGATGGGGAAGATAACAACTGTGAGGTACTGCGCATGTCTGTGGGGATGAGGGGGCAGGGGGGACCAGAGCTGGTATCCACCAGACCATTACCCTGCCAGGTGGCCTCTCTGAAAGGGGTGGCCAGCTTACAGACACCCTGGTTGCTCTCCATGCCATTCATAAAAAAGTCATGACTGTCCCCTTCTTGCCAATCTGCCAGGGCTCCAGGGGGAAAAAGCGGATAATTATCCTTCAGGAAAGAGAAAAAGATGTCATCAGCTCCTTGGCTAATACCTCATCTTCTAACACCCCTAGCCAGGCACTCCCCCATCAGCTCCCAGGCCAGCCTACCTAAGCCCACTGGGCATTTTGCAAGCTGCCTCATCTCATGAATGCTCTCCCCCAGTGGGCTTTAACCCTGTGAGGAGTAGGGTAGTGGCTGCCCCTGGATAGACATGCAACACAGCTGCCTCTGTGGTCACTGTGCACTCTGTCTGTGGGCTCAGAGGGGCAGCCTGCCCTCTTCCAGACTGCCAGCTCCCAGGAGGCATGTGCAGTGCTCCAGCTGCCTTTGTTTTCTCAAAGCCTGGCTCACAACCAGATACAGAGTGACCCCCACTGATGTCCACAGAGTGACCAAATGTGCCTCTCTCACAGAAGTGATGGGAAGTTCTTGGTAAAGAGCGCCAGGATACTTGGGATAGCCTGGGGGAGTGGAGAAGGGTTGTGTGTGACAGCCTCAGTTTTCCCATCTGTAAATAGGCATAATGGAGGCATCTACTTCTCCAGGTATGGCATGTCTACAAGAGGGAGTAAGGACAGGGCGATCATGTATGTAAGGCACCTGTAGAGTATGTGGCACAGTACGTACTGTTAGTATTATTTCTTCCCAGCTTGAGGATCAGGCTGAGCACACCCCAGGAGTGACCATCCCTCACCAATCTAACTGGGCCAACAAAGGCTCCATTCTGGAAGGTTCTTGAGCTGCTCATGCCCTTTGTGCCTCCTAGGCATGGACTTGGTTCAGCAGTATTTTTTACTGAGGGAGAAAATTTAATCCTGCCACAGAATCCCAGGTCTGGGGGCTGAAGGGGCTTCTTGGGAGATCATTTAATACATGCCCCTCTATTCACAGAAGAGAAGGCTACAAACCAGAGATAGTTCACTTCCACATTTGTCTGGGGGGCCCCAGCTGTGCTGGACCCAGGACTCATGTCTCCAAACATCTCAGCCAATGTTTCCACCATTCTGTGACCCTCCCTGGGATGTCACCTGGGATTTGGTTGGGCCACAGGCCCACAGGTCACAGCCTCAAGACATACCCATAATTCTTCCTGACCAGCCTCCCCAAATTCTCCTAGAAAATTACTCTTTATTTTCTAAGATGTGGAGAAGGCTGGAGGCAGATGATAAATGGCTATGGCTTTGTCAGGGTAACGGCACCCTAGCCTGCAGGGTGCCAAGGCAGGTATACTGCACTGTCATCCCACGTGACCCTTGCAGTTCCCCCGGGAGTGATTGAAGGAGAGTCTTGCCACTTCAAAGATGGTAGCAGAGAGGTCTGAGAGGTCCAGGCACCACAGGGACCAGTGTAGTGCCAGGAATTCATTCAATTCCACTACCACCCTGCACGTGGACCTATCACCCCGGGGCCTGTCATGGGTCCCAGGGGAAATAGGCCCTTCCTGGGCAGCGTAAGAGGAATGTGATTTTTTCCCCACAACCTTTGGGGGGGCTCTGAGGTGGGTGGGAATCACTGTCCAGTTCACGCAGCAGTCCCGGGAGCATATTCTCCCTGACCCCACGCACCGATCCTGGCCCAGGTCCAACTCCTTGGTGAGGAACTCGAAGAAGCGGGCACTGTGGCCACGGTTCTCCTCGGCCGTGCCCACCACACCGATGGAGGAGACCAGCATCTGCGCGCAGGGCTCATTCGAGCCATTCACCACCATGGCCAGGCCGGACCTCACGGTCACCGTCACGCGCTGCGAGAAACACTACGTTTCATCTGAAGCCGGGGCAGGCCAGGGTCGCACTGAGGGAAGCCGGGTCGCCTTCCTCGCCCACAACCAGTAAGTAAATTTCAGATGCCAAAAGGCTAGGAGGGGCATCAGGCAGAGGGTGAGGAGGAGCCCTGTAAGCGGCAAGGCCAGGAGGCCGAGGTGGGGGCTGGGAGCGGGGAGAGGGGGTCTGCAGATGATGGGCTACTGTGGGCAACCAGAAGGGGGGTATCCTTGGAGGGGTGGGAGCAAGGCTTTAAACGCAGTCGGGCTCCGGCCGGGGTCCTTGGAGGTCACGGCGGGGTCACGGCGACACAGAGCAGGAGCAGACGGGGGGGTGTGGACGCGGGTCACGGAGACCTTGAAGTCAGAGCTGGGAAGGTGGGCGGGAGGGGGTCCTTGGGAGGAAGCGGCAGGGTCTCGGAGGGGGAGCTGGGGCGTAGACAGAGCCGCCTCCCTGGTCCACCAACCTCCTCCCGCCGCGCTCCCCGGCCCACGCTCACGTCCTCGGGTTTCTTCAGGATGGCTGCGGTGGCCGCACAGAGCCGCTTCTCCAATCCCGCAGGCACACGGCCGGTGGGCAAGTTCGTGTCCAGCTCAACGAAAGGCATGGCCGGCGGAAAACGCGTAAGCGGTCACGGCAGAGTGAACGCGAAATGTCATGGTAGGTGTCCCAAGGTCCGGAATGGGGAGCAGGGGTGGGGCGACACAAACCAGGCTTCTCACTGGCTGGGCAGGCACGCAGCGCCCTCCGCAATTGGCTGGTTGGGCTGCACTCCCGGCCGACAGCTTGCGTGTGCGCGGGCGCTGGTTTCCGGAAGTCCTAAGGCCCGGCCCGCTCCTTATAACCCCACCCACAACGAGACATTGGCGGAGCGGTGGCCCCGCCCCAGCTCCAGCCACACTTTCTCCTATGGTCTTATAGGGCTGCCGTGGTCTCCGCAGCTTATATTTATTTACATGGAGGTCTAAACACCCCCAAAACACACACACTTGTGGGGGGCCTTCCCCAGGCTCGACGTTACATCGTCACTGAGGCTTAGAGTTGTTTTGAATGAGTTGCCACTATTTCAAAATCAAGCAACTTCGCCTAATGTGGGAACCTGCGCTACTCTTAATCAGACCTAGTGACACGTGTGGACTTGGGTGGGGCCGAGCAGAGACCCTGGGGCTCACTGCATCTCTACCTGGCCCCCAGAGCCATCTGCCTCATAGTGAAGTACTATCCACCAGGGGTGAGAGCCAGGTCCCAGATAAATTGCCAGCCATGTTTATGGCACCCTGTATTTTTAGAGGCAAAACAAAAGGTGTTATTTAAAACGTGATTATTTGTTAATATGGCTAAACATGGTATTCTCATCAGTGTTGTGAAGTTGTCTGAAACACAAATGAAAAATATAATTGAAATTGTGTGGGTGTATATGAACAATTACACATCTAAAACTCTATATAAGTGTGCATATAAAAGGAGCTTCTATGGGAAAGCACGAAGGTCAAGAAGCTCTCTCTGCTCATGACCCTGTCCCAGTAACAGGTTATCAGATGACTCAGATATCTGAGGGTCTAAGACACAAGACAAAAAGATTGTGACAGTCCTGAGGGGAAAGGTCAGGGATAGAAGGCAAGTCTGGGACCCAGAAGGGGCATGGAGAAGACAGTGGCTGGGGTTATGAGTAGATGCAGGATGGCAAGGTCTCAGCAACACCTGGAGGGCAGGGTCTGACCTGGGACTTTTCTCCCTGCAAGGAAGTTCATGAACCGGTCCTGCACACCACCTTGGGAGACAAGCACCTCTTCCACAGGTCAGCCTTCACCTGTAACATGTGCTCGGCCCAGGGGGCGTCGAACCAGCTCCCTGACAGGACTGAGGGAAGGAAGCAGTGGGGCTAAGGGACCCTAACTCAGCCCGGGGCCGGGGACATCAAGGAAGTACACAGTGACAAACACCAACAGACCAGGATGGGCACCAACCAGAGGGCACCCTCACCAAAGAGGGTGCAGAGGGGCCCTTTAAGCAGTGGGAACACAGCCTGAGCCAAGGCCAGGAGGCCAAGGTGGAAGCTGGGAGAGCGGATCTCTGCAAATTATGGACTACCATATGCGACCAGAAGGGGGTGCCCTGGAGGGGTGGGGACAAGGCCTTGAGTGCAAAGTTCAGTGACTCAGACTTTAGCCCCAGAGCACTGAGGAACTTTGAAAGGTTTCAAACGGAGGAGGGACTGGTCAAATTTGTGTTTACTAAAGCTCTTTACAGAGGTCACATGGAAATCAGAGTAGAAGGGGAAGGGGTAAAATAAGCAGACAGATGAGAGAAGGCTAATGAAGGGCTAATGCATGGAGGAAACTGTGGGCCAGGGCCTGTGCAGGGTGTCTTGCTCACAGCCAAGGACAGGCAGCTCCATCTCTTTATTCTGACAACAGAGTCTCCACTGTCAGTGGCTCTGCAGGCCCCACACTGCAACTCACTGCAACAAAACCTGTACCAAGGGCTTCAGCTTCTCCTTCACAGCACTGTCTGCTGGAGGCAGGTCCTTGGCCTTCATGACAGCTGCATGGGCCTCCTGAAAGAGGTCCTCTCCCACTGCGGCCTCCACACGCTGGCACCATGCAGCCAGTTTGGGTCTGCTTTTGAAGACTTGGCAGCCAGCACTGACAGGCTATGGAGAGAGAGTGCCAGGTAGAGGGACTAGGCACAATCAAGCACAAGGCAGTGTGACCTGGCTTAGGGATGCCCTGGGTAGATTTTCCCTCCTCTGCCACATGTGACAGGCTGAAGGTTCTCTCCCAGGAGATACTGGGAAGCTCCTCACTATCACTGCAGGGTGGGGTTCTGAAGCCCCATTTTACAGATCAGAACACTGAGGCGCAGAGAGGTAAGTGATTTTCCCAGAGTCCCACAGCTAGAAAGGGCAATGTGAGCTGGAACACTGGCTCCCTCCAGGACACCTCATTGCCCGGTGGGCCACCCTCCTCCATGACACTCACATGCATCAGCTCTGTGATGGCCACCAAGTCAGCCACTGAGATGTGGGACCCAGCAAGGAAGTCCTGGTCCTTCAGAAATTTGTCCTCAAGCAGCTGCAGACACCTGTCCAGCTCAGCCAAAGTAGATGCCAGGGTCTTGGGGGGCACCCGTTCACCCAGGAACACAGGGAACATCAGCTGGTGGGTAGGCAAACAGACCAGAGGGCTTGGGGTCTGCCCAAAGCCCAGGCTAGTTCCTGCTGTCATCAAATCTATCCCCAATCCTTTGGATTTCTCAATACCACACCCCTTTCCACTCACTGCCACAGCCAGCCCAGGCCTCATCTACTCCAACACAAACTGCTTCTGTCTCTCCCTGAGTCCTCACAGCTGGCAGTTAGCGGGATCCTTCTGCAATCCCCGTCTGCCCATATCTTCTCCCTGCATATAGCATTCTGTGGCTCCCCACTGCCCTCACAAAGGCCCTCACGAGTGCAGCAGCAACCTCTCCCCACTCCCCACCTCCTCTCCATTCTGCCCTCAAATGCACTGGGCTCCATCCCTGCCTCACCACCAAGCTTGAGGAGGCCCCTCCCCCAGCCCCATGAGGCTCAAGGAAGACACTTTAAGGTTATGGAAACCTACTTTCTGTCAAATGGCCCTTCAGAACAGTGGCAACCCTCCTGCACTAAAGTATGAGCATGCCCATCTCACATTTCCTCACGCCCATGGCACCCACCCCATGTGCTGTTTTAAGTTTTCTACAAATAAAAACTCAAGAGTACACCTGCATATTCAATAGGTAAAAATGGTGTGTACATGCTCTTTTAACATGCATTTACTTGATTTTTACTGAGGTTAAATGTGTTTCCATCTATTTATTGACCATATTTTCTGTCCTTCAACTAAATCTGCCGGTTTCCTTTGCCCAGTTTTTTGCTTGTTTTAAGTTTAATCCTTTTTCCTCACACAGAATTTCATTGTCTGTGTAAAGTCTAAGAGGCTTTTCTTTAAATCTTCCACTGTTCTTAGGGTTAGAAATCCTTGCATATCCAGAAATCAGACTAACATTCATCAAAATATCTCCTTTCTTTTTCCTGTTTTTTTCACTAAATACCTCTTTACCTAGAAAGTATGTGTGTAGCAAAGTGAATATTGGATTTTTTTTCTCCCGCGAAAGGCAGTATTTTCAGGCAGCCAGGAGTGTGCAAAGAGCATAGGATTAATTTGAGCAGCTGAGGAGTCAAGGCCCATTGGAGGAGTCACAGCCTGGCTCTGCCTTGGCATTCCCACTGGGAAACAAGCTGGCTGGACAATAAGTCTCTGGCAATATAGAATTTGGTATTCTTAGGCCTTAGATCTTCACTAAATTCTTGAAGCAGAAAGCACTGTCCCTCGAGCAGCCTGGGAGTGGTCCCATCTCCCCGTGGCTCACCTTCTGCCACATGGCTCGGGTACAGCAACTCCGCAGGGTCGTGTGCTGCCAAGCCAGGTACTCATCCACACGGGCACGGGCCTGGAGGTCCTGTGGGTACCAGTGGTCAGGGGCCTCATACTTGCGACTCAGGTAGAGCAGGATGGCCACACTGGGGGACATGATGGGGACAAGGGTCACATACCTGTCACTTTTCAGCCATTCCACAGGAGCTGGCCCTGGTGGGGGCAGGGCAGGCACCCCACTGCTCACATTTCCCCAACTCCTATGGGTGGAGCATTTCACTATCTCCATGGTGCAAGGTAGGAAGGTGAGGCTCAGAAAGGTCAAGTGACTGCCCAGGATCACACAGCTTTACACTGAGTCATCCTGTCATCTGAACTAAGGGTACCAAATGAAAAACAAAATTTGGGATTTCAAAAGTGGGGAAGGGTGCTCAGGGAGGGCTTCCGTGAGGAACGGGCACCCAGCATGGGTGTCGAAGGACAGGAACAACTCGGCTACTACTCCCCAACACATCCAAAGCATGGACGTGCCAAGAGCACAGTGGCCAGCTACCTGCTCACACACTCCTGGAGCTAGGACAAGACCCCCCAGGTGAGAGGAGGCACTGCTTCCTGCCCTGTCCCACCCCCTCTGCACCTGACCAGAGCCTCTAGCCCCCTCCCCTAGAAAGCCCTCCCTGACTCCTGTTCAGCCTGAACCCCCGAGTAATGCCTCCGTGGCATGTGAATCTGGCTCTACCATGGAGGTACTCTGCAGTCTCAGTAAAGGGTACCGCTGTTCAGCCACCAACCTGGAGGCTGGCCTGGGCTCTCATCTCTCCCAACTACCTCCAACCCCTCAACAAACCCTTTGGCTTAACCTCCAAGAACAGTCAGAACTGACCACTGCCTCTGCCTGCACCAGTACCCTCTTGGTCTGGGGCCCAGCACCTCTCTCCTGGATTAGCTTCCTCACCCTAGCTAGAGGGAGCCCTTAAAACATAAGTCGGATCACTGCTTACAATCCCCCAATGGTCCCATCTCACCTACAGCAAAAGGCAGTCTTCCCCAGTCCCACAGGCTACCCTCCAACCTAACCCCCTGCTCTCTCTGTGCCCACCCCAGCCATGCTGGCTCCTCGCTCTTCTGCCCGTGCCTCAAGCCTCGCTGTTCCCTCCGGCCGGAACCCTCCTCTCCACACACACTGCACCTTATTCCTGCAGGTCTCTGCCCAGATGCCTCCCCTTAAAGGGGGCCTCCACTGAACAACCTACTCAAAATCACCCCCACCCCGCCCCACTCACCCTATTCATTTCCTCCTTGGCATTCGTGCCTACCTGATATGTTACAGGTTTACCCAGATTATTGTCAGTGCCGCCCTTCTGGAATGAGAGCTCCACGAGGGCAAGGGCTTCGATGGCTCCTGGCCCTGGTGGAGGCTCAGCAAGCAGCCACTGGAGCTCTCTGGATGTTCCCCTGACTCCCACAGGACTGGTACTTGCCCTCAGCATTTGCAGAAGTGGCAGCTCTAAAGTGCACAGGGAAGCTGCTGCTCGGTGCTTAGCCCTCGTGGCTCTCCTTCCATCCGAGGGCTGGGTTGGCAGAGAGGGGGCCTGCGGGTAGGCTAGGCCCTATGACCTTGGGCAGGTCCCTCTCCTCTCCTGGCCTAAGTTTCTTCACTGTATCATGCAGGGGGGAGTGGGGATGTCAGGACATCATCAGCTCCTCCCAGCCGTGGGCACCTCTGCCCAACTCAGCCCACCCTCCACCCTGGGGCTGGCACAAATGCTCAGGGCACCAAGACTGCAATCCAGGTCACCAAAGCAGACACACAGACAGCTGACTGGTCCCCCAAGGGTGGTAGCAGCCCAGGGAACAGTTACCTCTCAGCCAAGGTGAAGTCCCCGTCCTTCAAGGCTGGCACCTTCCTCAGGGGGTTCACCTGGGCAAAGGCATCGCTGTGGTGCTGGCCTGTGGGAGACCAGTGAGGCGGGTGGGGAGACATGGCAGACACTCCAGCCTCTTCCGTGGGCCCTAGGCTTGCCCCCTGCAATCCACTTTCCTGTGCCTGCTGGGTGACCGGCCACACCTGCTCCCAGCCCTCAGTCCAACCTGGCTCTCGCCAGGAGCTCCTGCCACATTCAGCCACCCAGCCTCCAGCAGCTCAGCTCTTCTTTCTTTCTTTACACCAACCCTCAAGGCCCCTCCCCACTGGAGGACCCCAGGTCTGGCTCACTTCTGAGTACCTCCCTACCCAGGCCAGTGCTGGAGGACACACCAAGCCGTGTGTGGGGGTCAGAGGGCTGCACACAGGGGGTCCAGACCCCTGGCGCGCCTGCGAGGGGCGGGGAGGGCCCACCTTTGAGCAGCTCCACCGTGCGCAGCTCGAAAGGGATGCCGTTCTTCTTGGCGAAGATGTAGACGGCGCGGCAGGGCTGGGACAGCAGGTCCAGGTACAGCTCCAGGCTCATGGCGGTGAGACCCGGTGAACAGGACCGCGACGAGGATTGCGGGTAGGAACCGCCAAGACGCGGAGCCCAAAGCGGCGCGCGCACAGCCAAGGACCCGTGCCCGGCCCCGCCCCTCCCGCGCCCATTGGATGGCTCTGAGAACCTTGGGCCAATCAGCGCCCGCTTTCCTTTCCACGGTTCAGGCTGCAGGTGTCAAGGTGCGAAAGGCACTGGGGGACTGGAACTCTGACCTGGGGGTGGTTCGCTGCCAGGCCGTAACTCTTTCTGGGACCTCAGTGTCTACCTTTGTCAATGGGGCAGGAGGGGTGGTAATGGGAAACGAGACGCCAAGGGCGCTTGCGGCACAGATGTTCGAAAGGGCTGAGCGGTCTGCAGTGGCCCAAACCACCTCCCCGTATCCAGGGAAGGGGCTGAGAGAGGAGAGGCTTTGGAGTCCCCGGGGTGCGGCGGCCGCCCTCTGTGCCCAGAGCCCAGAGCCCAGTCCAGGAAGGAATGAGCTGCCCCTCCCAAATCGCTGGGGTCGTTTTCATTCCACTCCAGCTAATCCTCCTGCAAAAGGCAAAAGCACTGTAGGGCCATTCAGCGTTTGCAGTGGGTGGTCCTGGAACTTCCTCACTTCCTTTGCAGGGCCCGTTTCCTGCAACTGCAACCCTGGTGTTAGGCAGAAAGACAGGATTTGAGCGGGTGGAGGGAGAATAAGGCCAGTGGAGCCCATTAAAAGGGACTCAAAGAGTTAACCACATAAAACCAGAGAGCCAGAAAGGGCTCACAGAGTTAATGAGTTAATTTTATTAACTAATGAGTTGAAGTTTCAAAGGCCAGAAGTGCCTTGGAATGTCCGGATATTCCCAAGATAAAGAAAAGTAACAGAGTGCAGCCCATGTCTTCATTGTACCAAGTAGACCATGCCACTGTAAAGGCCCAGCTTATGCTTGAACTTAAGCTGTATGCTGTTCTTCTTCTAGCCCCTTTATCAAGTAACTTTGTAACCAGGGCAATAGACAGACATCTGAGGTGTAAACAAACCTATGTGGATAAAGAATGCCGAAATCCAGACCAACACGGTCACCTAAATAACCCTATTTTTAAGACAGAACTTCAAAGAATTTATAGATCACCTCTATACATCATGCTTTAGGCTGACCCTTACCAAAAAGGCCCTATAAACCCCAGACCCTAAACCCTTAATTGGGCCTCCTCTTTGAGGCTGCCCTCACTCCCCTTTCTTCGAGTGTGTCACTCTCTCTGTTCTACCCCAGATAAGTAGGAAGGGGCCGCTGAGAGCTCTGATTTGGTCTTACAAGTTCCTGCAGCCTGGGTGACCCCGACAGGACTGCAGCTGTACTATCACACTCTTTAGTAGCCTGCCTAAAATATCTCCTTTCTTTGCCTTGGGAAGTTCTCAGAATATAACCTCACTCCATCCAGTGCTCTGTGGCTCCCCCAAATCCTGGGGTGGTGGGGGCTTAGTTCCCACACTGTGCAGATTCAAGCAGGCACTGGACTCGGGAGTTGGGAAGGGGGTTGCCCCATGCTGAGCAGGAGTTCAATGAGCTTCCCTTTCCTGCCTTTGTCTGCCTTGACTCTGGCCCTCTCCTCCTCTGGAATGTAGTCAAATAAAACTTTCATTCTGCTTTGCTACTGTGTCTCTGCCTTTCAATTCTTCGTTGCAGCAGGGACAAGAACCAAGGAGAATAAACCCAACCCACAACACTGGGGCTCCTGAGGTCTGTGGCTAGGACACCCCCCATTCCCTCATCCAGTAAGAAGACCCTGCCCCCGAATTTGAGATTCAGAGAAAGTCCCTTGGCAAGAGGATCTGTTATTAGAAAACTTAATAGTTTGGCCTCCCTGGTCCTCCACGCTCCTTGTTTAAGGAAGACCTAACTTCCCTCCCCCAAGGAGAGAACCTTCCTGACCAGATGCAGCCGCCCTCTCTAGGCAGAGAGAAGCCATGCTCTCCACCCACTTCAGTGACCCACCCTCCCCAAAAAATCATCTTTGGTAGCATTACTGCAATATCCAATCTCCCTGGTCAGCAGCCAGATTATTATTCTAAAATGCAATTTTAGCACACCATCCCTGTTCGTGGTGAGCAGATCCTGGGAATGGCACTTAAGACTCTGCAGGACTGAGTCCTGACCAGAGAGCAGTTGTTCGGATTTTCCCCTCATGACCAATTCCTTAGAATATAACAGAAAAAGCTCGGCATCTCTGCCTCCATGATTGTATTTGTCTTCTTTGCTGCCTCAGCCTTTGGGCCAAAAGGCAAAAAAAAAGGAAAAGGGCTTCAGCTCAGTCCTGCAGCCCTGCACACAGGCTTGTTGATTATCAAAGGCAATTTTGCTTACAGTTTGAGATTTCTACAATTAGCTCCTCACCCAAAGGTTGCCCCCTCCAGGAGATAGGGAAATATGTATGCAAATAATGATTACTTTGTCAAAGAGCTGTAGGAACGTCGGGACCAGACCTAGGTGGGAGAGAGTCAGCTAACCAAGGACAGGGAGCTTCTCAGCTCTCCTTGGACCCTCACTGGTGCCCATATGTCTGCAGCCTTCAGTCACTCCCTAACCTGTGCCCCCTGCTGCTCCCCATTTCCCTAGCATAAAAAAAGCTCACAGTCAACCCTGAGTTAAGATGGTGCTTTAGAACAGGAGTCCTCCATCTTCCTGGTCTGTTTGCTTTCCAAATAAAGCCTCTTTCCTTGCCCCAACACCTTGTCTCTCTACTTACTGGCATGAGTAGTTAAAAATGAATAAATTAGGCCCATCCATGGCAATATGGAAAAAATGCAAGTTACAGAATGGCACAAGAGATTTCTATAAAATTTTAAACACTCAAAGCAAAACTGTATTTTGCTTATAACTATACACAAATGTAAGAATGTGTAAGTTCATGAGCTGGAAGGACTCCTACCAGATCCCAGACCAGGGCGCCCACCCAGGAACGAGTGAGGGCAGCCATGAGATCTTTTGGCCTTTGTCCCCTAATGTTTCTTTTTTATAGGAGACAGAACAAGAAAGCCCATGACCCATAATTAGCTGTATACTTTAACAAATGAGGAGTTCCACTTCTGCTGGAGATATCAAAGTCACAAAAACCATTACTCCCAGTATAGCCCAGAGAAGATAGGTAATGATTCTACAGCATCTTACTATACTGATGGACAGTGACTGTGATGGGACAGGCAGCGGGGGGGACTGGGTAATGTGGGTGAATGTTATAACCACAATGTTGCTCATGTGAAACCTTCATAAGATTATATATCAATGATACCTTAATTTAAAAAAAAAACCACTGCTCTCACCATAACAGTAACACTGAAAAGAAAGTAATCTTGTTTTTCTTTGAAGCCAACAAAGAATTATAGGACTTTTTAAAAAGAAAAATAAAGAAAGAAAAAAGCCTAAACCCGTGCAGTCCTACCCACAAGCGGTTATGAAGTTCTTGAAATGTGACTGAGATATGCTGTCCACGGAAAATACACACCAGATTCTGGGGACTTAGTACAAAAAAAGAAAGCAAAATATTTTAGTAATAATTTTTCTGTTGATTACATGTTAATAAGTTTTTTTAGTTTTAATTATGGCAAAAAATATATAACAAAATTAACCATCATAACCATTTTTACATGCACAGTTCCATGGCATTAAGTATTTTCACACTGTTGTGCAACCGTCACCATCACTGTTTTCATGTTGCAAAACTAAAACTTTGTCCTCGTTAAACAACTGCCCATTCTCCCCTTCCTGACAACCATTCAATTTTCTGTCTCTATGAATTTGACTACACTGGGGAATTCATATGCGTGGAATCATACAATATTTGTCCTTTTGTGACTGGCTTATTCCACTTAGCATAATGTTTTCAAGTTTCATCCATTTTGTGGCATACTGCAGAATTATATTCCTTTTTTCTGACTGACTAATATTCCGTGGTATATACCACAGTATATGAGAATATACACCATTCATCATCCCAATGGATATTGGGGGTTGCTTCCATCTTTTAGCTATTGTAAATAATGCTGCTATGAACATGAACAAACATTTCTTTGAGACCCTGCTTTCAATCACTTGGGGTATATACCCAGAAGTGGAATTGCTGGATCATTTCATTATTGTTTTTTTAATTTTTGGAGGAACTGTCATACTGTTTTCCATAGCAGCTGCACCATTTTGTATTCCCATCAATTATGTACAACAGTTCCGATTTCTCCATATTTCACCAACACTGGTTATTGTTTTTACACATATGATAGCCAACCTAATTAGATGTGAAGTGGCATCCCATTGTAGTTTTACTTTACACTTCCCTTATTGTTAGGCTGGAGAAAGGAAAAACAAGGACATGCACACAGAACAGAGAGATGCCATAGGGGGAGAACAGACCAGACCCCAAAGTCCGTGCCGTATATGGAAAGGGGACAGGTCTCCCTGAATTCCATCCTGATGTGCCAACTAAGACCC